GGGCACATGTACTCGCGTCGGTGGGTCTACTACGGTAACACTCGACGGCTTGCCGCATGCGAGTCGACACTCTGCGCATAGTGGCCATCATCGTCAACCTTGTCCTCTGCTTCTCGTGGACACTGGCGCTGATCCCGCCGGACGTCGGGTTCTTTGGCACGCTCCTCTTGGATTTGCAGCCGATTACGCTCTTCATGGAGCCGATGCGCCGCACCATGTGGAGCTGTCTGGCGATGGAGAATGAGCATTTGCGCAACACGTTGGGCTTCCGGAAGGAACACTTTATCCCGCTGCACTTTGACCGGCCGCCCTCGCCCACAGAGCGGAAGCCAACGTACGCGTTCCGGATCGCGGCCTTGAGCGCTGTCGTGCTCTGCCTCAGCGCCGCTGCCATTCTCTTGGGCTAGGGTTGGTAGAAATTGCCAAGAGGAGCTCACTTGACCGACGAAAACGCTCCAACAATCGAGGCTAGACACCCCAACCATGCCTCCTAGACTAGTACTAGTATATGGAGGCGTGGAAATGAACGAACCAAGACAACTCTATTACAATACTACTCCAAATGAGCTATTAGCAACCGTCGCCACCAGCAATCATGAGACACGACGTCGACCCGAACATGGCGAGGATGCTGCACGTGATCGAGTAGACGAGCATGCAGAAGCAGAAGACGAGGACGCCGCCCCCAATGATGGGAAAACGGCCGCCGTTGCGCTGGAGTTCGTGGAGTTGCGTCTTTTGCTTTGGGAGGAAGAAGGAGTGAGGACAAAGCCCGAGTAGTAGATTATGTACGTGTACGCGACTTGGTTGCGCACGTGCTTTGTGTCCGAGATGAATCTGATTGGTCGGTCGTGGCAACACGAGACCTTGGCGCCCGCTGCGCGAACGGCCAATAGCCCTCGAAGCTGACGGCAGCGTCATCAAGCCAATCAATCACAACGTGCCTGCCTCTACGAGCCACCCACTCGACCAATGCCAGGTCGTCTTGCGTCGAGACGATGATGCAGACCCAGACGCGCAAGTTGGTCGTAACCTCGTCGCATGTCGGGACGGCTGCTGCGCCGTGAGTTCTTGGGCTCTATTTGGACGCGCCTTGTCGCTGCGAAGGCTTATGGCCAAGTCAATCAAAGTCAAATGGTGAGAGTATATATCCCAACGTGGTCGTGTTGTTCTGGCCTGCATTATCCTAGCACAATGGCAGCTACGCTGAGACAGAGCAAGCCCGCGCTCAGAGCAGCAATCTTGTACACGTATGTCGTCGCCGAGGCTTTGCCTTCATCAAGAGACGACGGCGGATCCAAGTGCAGCGGGAGCGAGTACGTCGATTGAAAGCCCAGCGTGTTGCGCAGGTGCTCGTTCTTGATCGCGAGGCAGCTCCACATGGCGCGACGCATGGGCTCCATAAACATCATCATGGGCTGCATCGAGAGCAGCAGAGTGCCCAGAGGCGACCCGGCGTCGGGCGGGATCAGCGCCAGTGTCCACGAAAAGCTGAGAACGAGGTCAATTCCGATAGCGACCGCTACGCAAGACTTGAACCATCAACCTTCAAGCAGACGACGTACCATAGTAGACGTGACGACGCGACTTGATGCGGGTCGTGGCTAGAAACTCGTGCCGTGGACGCCGGCCAACGCCCCAGTCCATGACCACGTCCCAGACCCACGAATAGAGCGAACTGCACACGAAAAGGCAGACCCAGACCACCTACGCAGCCCACCGATGAGAACATATATAGACAGCGCGTCCGAGTTCCAACCTGCAGTGAGTTGCTCGGCGCGAGGGGGGAGTAGTACGAGTGGAAGAGCCCGAACAAGATCACGAGCTGCGCCAGTGCGTACTTGAGCGCGTTCGGGAGGCCCGGAAACCACGACCCGAGCTCGTAGCACCGCCGCAAACTCTGGAGAAAGCGCCACCACTACTCGTCGGTATATAGACAACCGCTCTAGCCTCGGTTGAATCAGACGCACCACTGGCACGGCGCAGATGAGCGGGACGGCGACGCGGGTGTAGTACGCATTGCGCGAGCACTCGCTCGGGACGTCGTCGCTCTCGGTAAACTCGCCGGTGG